TTTGCGCAGGAAAGAGAAGGATGGCCATGGTCTTTCGTTTTCTCGTTCATGTAATAAAGATCTTGCATACTAGGATCGCAGAAAGTTTTTATTTGGCGCTTGCGTTGCCGCTATTAGACGTGTCACAACAAGAGATATGCTACCTCACTAACGGCCCCCGACGTTTAAAGCGTTTCGCACCATAATTTCCTTGATTAAGCCGAGATACGTGGCGAGTTGCCAAGAAGGGTGTATGTGTAAGAGAGAGGAAGAGGGAGGAGAAATAGTGAAGAATGAAAGAGAGTAAAAGAGAGAGAAAGAGAGAGTGTTAGTGAGAGAGCGAGAGAGTGAATCATAGGGCGAGGGCACGAGTGTGTCCGCTCGCTCGTAAATAACATCGCGAATTAAGCGTGTAATTTCCGTGCGAATTACGAGCGAACGAGCAAACGAATGAGAGAGAAAGAGAGAGAATGAGATATCTACTGGCTATGGTATTCTCCTCCGATACTTTTATTACTTTGTGAAATACGAAATAAGAAAGGAAACATCGATATGAGAAAGAAAAAATCCTGACTCGATATCGCGAACAAATGTTTAAATATTTTCCATGTTTTCCAAAACTAACTTCTAGTGATCGATTTCGCGTGGGCTGTTTCTTATTTATTTATAATAGTGCATTCTATATAAGTAAATATAATACTTAGAATACATGGGAGTAAAAATAATCTTTTTTTTTTTCTTTTTTTATTTACTTGTAGTACTAGTACTAATAGATCGTTATCTATCCTTATTCTTTTTCCTTTTTTTCTGGTTACATAGTCGAGTTAGGTGAACGAGGCACGTCATCGAGTAGTGATTAATGATGTTTCAGTGTATCGTTATACTCTACCTTTGCTGTTTCATAATAATAATAATGATTATCATCATCATCATAATCATCATCATCATAAATACATAATTATTTTTTCATGATTCAAATTGGATATTGTAAGTAACTAGGCGAGATAATTTATCGAGTTAATTATAAATATTATTACCTCGAAGTTCATTTTCTATTTTTACGATGGGACACACATAATTCGTCAATAATTTCTTATAGTTAGGTAACTAGTTATTTAGAGATAGTTTATTGAGAGTTTCTTTTCTAAAGAAAACATTTCTTTTTTTCGATTATTATGACACTTCTATAGGAAATTTTCTAGCACAATTCTGATAGACTTTGTATCACAATATTTTTTCGCTTATCTTCGAAGATTCATTATTTAAGAGCTGCACGCAATTTGAAAGTATTACCATCGTCAATACCCATGGGATCGTTTCAGCATTGTTTATGAAATGGCGAAGAATACTCGAGTACGCAAGAAGAAGCTACTCCTTATTTTCCTTGAGATTGGAACAAAACAGAGATAGTAAGAGAGAAATAGAGCGAGAGAGAGACAGAGAGAGAGAGAGAGAGAGAAAGCGTGTGGGAACTACTACGCATCTGTTCCTCGTGATTGATGCGTAAATTACGTTTCTGCGACACGCACCTGTGTCCCCGGTAATATACCCTCCGTTTCAGGAGGAATCGATTCTTTCGCGTTTTCGAAAACACATGTTGTAAAAGTAAAAAGAAAGGATTTATCTTTCAATCTCGATCAAGCAGAATTCTCAAATATTGGAATTTCGTTATGACGATGAAAATCGTCTTTTTAATTTATCGCTAAAATACTCTCGAGAGATTTATTTGGTTATTTTTTTTTTTTTTTTTTCATTGAAAATTCGTTTCGAACAATTCGCAGTATTCCCGTTGATTTTGATTTTTTATTCACGATACGCGCGTAGTTGCACGTACTGTCATTTGCTCGTTCGTCTCTTTTGTGTGTTACTTTTTCTTCTCTTATTAAAAATACGTCCCTTTTCTTTCACCGAGTTGAATAAATACGGTCAGATGAAATTTCTTCATAGACCTGTTTACAGCATTGCTAGATCCATTAATTATATACGATATTCGTCGTCGTACGGTATGTATACCAACCTAGACGTGACTCGTTGTTTACTCTTGCTGGTCTGGCCGTTTGCAAAGTCGTATATACATTTTTTGTTCTTTAGAGAGAACGTGGTTTCTCATTACCCGAATATTTTTCAGTATTAAACAAGATTGTTAACACACTCGTAAAATAAAAGAAAACAGAACGGAACTAAAAAAAAAAAAAAAAGAGTACACGCTTTTTTTTCTTCTTTATGAAGAAATGTGACTTATGAGTCACAGGTCATCGAACTTATGAACAAAATGTTCAAGGACAATTCTCGAAGGAATACTAGAACGTTTAATTAAAGAAGAAATAATGTGAACTGGATTAAGAATTGATATTCCCTTGCAGTTACAAAGTCCCACGATTCATTCTTTCTTTTCTTTTCTTTCTTTCTTACTTACTTTTTTTTTCGGGAAAGGAGCAAACAACTGCGCGTAACTCTTTCGTTAAAGTCTCGCACCATAAACTCGGAGAAAGTGTACCCAATTCTCTGAAGGGATTCGCTTAGCTCGAGAAAAGGACTCTCCTAATAATTAAAGAAAACATAGAAAACCGACGTTATTATTGCAAAGTAATTAGATTACTATTCGTAATAATCTTATTGTTAAGATAACAATTATCAAATATATATATATATATATA